TTACTTGTATAGGTGCTCCAATGTGGGTGCATCAATATTTACAAGAGTTATGTTATCTTTTTTGATTTATTCCTTTATCATTAAGCAATGTCTTTTGCCTTTGTTGTAGCCTTTGTTTTAAAGTCTATTTTTTTCTGATATGAGTATTGCTACTCTAGTTTTTTTCCCTTTCTATTCATATGGAATATCTTTTTTCATTTCTTTACTTTAATCTGTGTGTTTCTTTCTTTTGAGGTGGGTCTCTTGTATGACAGCATGTATACACACACACACACACATATATATGGGTGATGTTTTCTTATCCATTCAGTACCTTATCTCTTTCATTGAAGAAGTTAATCAATTTACATTTAAACTGATTATTGATAAGAATGTATTTATTGCCGTTTTACTCTTTATAATTGTTTCTCATTTTTTTCTTTCTTTTTTTATAGACATTTTTTAAACATTTATTGTAACAGTGGTTTGTTGGAGATTAACTGCTTTAGCTTTTTCTTGTTTTGGAAGCTCTTTGTTTCTCCTTCAAATTTAAATGATAGCCTGGCTGGGTAGTGTAGTGTTAGTTGTAGGTCCTTGGTTTTCATCACTTTGAATATTTTGTGCCAATACCATCTGTCCTGGAAAGATTCCATCAGAAATCAGCTGACAGTCTTATGAGGGCTCCCTTATAGGTAACTAACTACCTGTTCTGGTTGGTTTTAAGAATCTCTCTTTGTCTTTAATCTTTGCGATTTTAATTATAGTATGTTTTTGTGTGGGCCTCTCTGGGTTTATCTTGTTCAGGACTCTCTGTGTTTCCTAGGTTTGTTTTTTTGTATTTTTTTTTTCTTTACTAGGTTAAGGAAATTTTTACTCATTATTTCTTTAAATAAATTCTCAATCTTCTGGTTACCCCTGTGATGCAGATGTTGTTATGCTTGATGCTGTCCCAGAGATCCCTTAAACTTTTCTCATTTTTTAAAATTATTTTTTTCCTGCTACTTCGTCTTCTAAATCACTGATTTGGTCCACTGCCTCATATAATCTGTTGTTGATTCCTTCTAATGTATTTCTCATTTCAGATGTATTATTCATTGTTGACTGGTGCTTTTTGATGTTTCTATGTCCCTTTTTATGCTACTATTTTTTAAATTGACATCCCCACTGTGTTTTTTGTCTTCCTAAGTTGCTTGACCAACCTTATACCCATTGTTTTGAACCTGGTATCTGGCAGATTGCCTCCATTTCATTTCTTCTGTTTGTTCACTTGGGACATACATGTTTCTTTGTATCCCCACTTTGGCTGTTTCTATGTATTTGGTAGATATGCTATGCCTCCCATTCTTGGTATGGTTGGTCTTATGTAGCAGTTGTCTTGTGGGGCTCTATACCTCAGTCTCCCTGATTCCCTTAGCTGAGTACTCCAGGAGTGTCTCTTCTGTGGGTTGTGAGAGCCCTCCTGCTGTGGTTGAGTCTTGATTGCTTTGGGTCCAACCATGGGTGGGGTTTACCCTCAGGATTTCTGCCTGTGAAGGTAGACCCCTACCACAGTGTACAAACTGCTATGTTGGGGCTGAGTTCTCAATTAAAAATTTTCCCCAGAAGGGTCTGGTGCCTGAAAACCTCCTCTTTTTGGTGTGCCACTTGTGGAGCTAATCGTGTCGTGTTCTGATATGGTCTGAAGCTGGCCAGTTGATGTGTTGGTTCTGGGGTGTCTTGGAAAAAATTCCAGTGCAAATCAATGTCAGACAATTCTTGTGACCATTCTCAGGCTACGTGTAAGAGCTACAAAATGAGTATGGTTGGCACTGGGCCTAGGTTCTTGTGGGAGTGGCCAAGCTATCCCTCATGGGTGTCTGCTACCTGTCCTGGCCAAAGACAGGTCAGAAAAAGGCCACTGGCCTCTGGAGATCTGCCTTGCTTACTGGCTGCCCATTTGGCTAAGCCTCTGAATTAGCCTCAGGCAATGCACAAACTGCATGAGGCAGGTTATCAGTGAGTACCAGGTAGGGCTGAGTGGTATTTATCAGGTTCATATAGATTCAGACTCCATACAAGTGCTGCATCTGAGGCCACTCTTCAAAAATTTCAGGGCACACCAATGCCAGCTGCCAACTTCTTGGGACCTGTGGACCTTTGTAGAGGGATGGGGCCTCAGGGAGTCAGGAGAGATAGGACAGTGCTTCTCCTAAGGCTGATTTGATGGGCAGTGGTGCCATTAGGGCACATAGGGGAAAAAGATGACCCTTACCCCAAAACTACAAAACTGACTCTCTCCCTCTGTGTTTCTGGCACTCTCTGAGTTTGCCCAAACTTTCTCAAGAGTTTTTCAAAGGTGGATGTGGGCAAAGGGGTAGTTTATGGGGACTTCTGTAATAATGTCAACAATAAAAATGAAGTTAAAAAAGTGAGAGATTGTATGGCTGGCCCAGACTGCAGGTCAGGAGTAGGCCTCTCTGACTGAAAAGAGCCTTGCAAGGTTGGGCTTCCAGGTGTCAGCAGCAAGGGGCTAGTACATCTCCCGGGCTAATGCCATGTGGAGGAGAGTGCTCAACCCAGGAAAGATGGCATCTGTGGGTGGACTAGGGGAGTGACCTAGCACAAGGAAATTTTCAGCTTTCCCTTTAGCCCTTCCCACAATGTCCCACAACCCAATTTCTCCCTGTGTGATGAGTTTTTCCCCAGCCACTGACCCTTCTGCTAAAGCCCAGGTGAGTGGTCATGCACGAGACTTTGTGTGCCTGTGTTTCCTTTAAGAGGATGCTTGGGTTTCCTATAGACTCCCTTCTCACCCCAAAGAACACTCTTCCTACTGATTTTCACAGCCAGATGTTATGTGGGCTTCTCTTCCTGAATCTGGGGCTCCAACCTGTGGAGCTCATGAGGGTTTGAGGTTCCCTGCACTTCTGGGAGGACCTCTTCAGCTAAGATATCCCTTTTTTGCATCTCTGCCCTTTCTACCAGTCTTGATGTGGGTTCTTCTATAAAATCCTTAGTTATAAATCTGTTTATCTAGTCTTCAGATGGCTCTCCAGGTTGATTGTTCTGTAATTTACTTGTAATTTTGATATGATCAAGGGAGAAGTTGAGTGTAACTTTCACTTACTCTGCTGCTATCTTGGGTCTTTATATGAAATCTTCTATAAAGATTTTTTCAGTACTTAAATATTTATTAACCAGTAATTACATAAATTATGTTTCACTTGAAAATACTTTGTTTAATCTAACATACTCAGAAATACTTGCAAAATTAAAAATCAACTTCCCCCTGACGGGTGTGGCTCAGTAGCTAGAGTGTTGGGCCACACACTGAAGGTTTGTGGGTTACAGTCCAAGTCAAGGGCACATATATACCTGGGTTGCAGGTTCCATCTCTGGCCCCATTTGTAATGCATGCCAGAGGCAACCAATTGATCTCTCTCTCTCTTTCTGTCTCCCCCTCTCTCCTTCCCTCCCACTTTTTAAAATTCTGGAAAAAATATCCTCAAGTGAGGATTAACAACAAAATAAAAATCAATTTCAATACACTACTACAAACATAGAATTTGTTATAAAATTATTTTATTATTTTTTAATATACTCGTTGGTCCAAATATTGAATCATGCATATGCTTTAAAACTATTCATTAAAAAAATGTATCGAATAAAATCTTAGTTACCAGTTCTGTTCAAATTTTCTCCAATCTTTATTTAATTAATCAATTGGTAAATTTCATTTTATTTTCTAAGATAAAAATGTACTTCCTTGCCCAGCTGATGTGTCTCAGTGGTTGAGCATCAACCCATGATTCTGGAGCTCATGGTTCGATATCAGGTCAGGGTACATGCGCAGCAGGGGGCATGAAGTAGGCAGCCGATCAATGACTCTCTCATCATTGATGTTTCTATCTCTCTCTTCCTCCCTCTGAAATAAATAAAAACATATTTTTTAAAAAAAGTACTTCCTTGACCTTTTTTGTGGGGTTGTTTTTGTTTTTTTTAAATTTGTTTCTTTCTAATTACAATCATTCTGCCAATTTACTGTGCAATGGAGATTTTTTTACCCATTTTTATTTTCTGTACTGGTTCCCCTTCATGTTTAAATGACTCATTTTATTTTTCAGAACTTGTGAAAAAAAAATGGTAAATTTTTCTGGCTTTCTTTTCTACTGATATATTTCTTAGAAATATATTTTTTCTGCCATTTCCTGACTCTTCACTCCTTACCCCCTCCTGTTTTTTCCCTTTCTTCTTGTGTATTTTAAATTATCTTATCCATTTTATTTTCTAGTTCCTGGCTCTTTTCTTATAAAATTTCCTTCCCATTCTTTCCCTCAGCTTTTCTTCATTCCTTTTCTTGTCTTTGGTATATTTTTGGGTTTGTTCTATCTTTGAGATAATTAACATATTTTATTATAACATTGGTGAGATGAAGGGAATTCGGCTAAGAAGAATGTGGTTATTTGTATTAAATAGAAAGTTTCCTTTAATTTGGGTTCTCCAACATGTTCTCTGAGACAGAGTTTCCATGTTTTGTACATAATATTTTTCCAGTCTTCAAGGGATTTCTTCAGACTCAAAAGCTGTTGAGTAAGATAAGTCCCTTTTCTGTTGATCTTTCAAACACTTTGTATATTGGTGTCAAGTGTAGTTTGAGACTAGCTAGTCTACTTCTCTTGACTATATCTAAAGGTACGTAAATATTTTTGTGATTTAAATGATCACAAAAATATGATTAAGGGATTTAAAGTATATAATTTGGTATGATTTTTTCTTCTTCCAATCATAATTATTACTGTTCTTTTATTTTTATTTTAATCCATTCAGTTATTAGTTCAAGACATTTATCTTCTTTCAGAATGTTTGTACAGGTATTTTTTCACTCAAGTAAACTTCATTGGTAGTATAACTCCAACATCTAAGGCCCTTATCTAGAATAATCCTATTTTCCTACCCTAATACAAAAAAGTATTTAAATTCTCTTGTTCCTACATATCAGGTTATATTCTTCAAATTGTAGTGAAGTTTTCAAATGGAATGGATGTTAGAGATTTCTTCCATTGCTTTGAAAATGGACATTGGTTGGTCAACTTTAAGGCACAAATATTGGCAGATGTATGGCTTTCATTATATCTTCTTTATAATGTTAATTACCTGCTTATACATAAATGTTTGTATATTTTCTCCCAGATAAGAGGGAGGCTACATTCAAGTCTGGTGAGTAATGCTTATCTCTCAAGAAACTTCATTTTTAGTCTCTCTTAGATTTTTCCCCTATAGTAGCAGGATTAGAATACAGGAAATCAACAAAAACTTCTGTAATAAGCAAGGGTGCATCTAAAGCATGATTTTTCTAAATTTCAGTAGTTTAAAACTATCCTTTCTGAAGTGCAAATCGCAAGTCATCCAGTATGTTCCTCCCCCCATTTGACTTTCATACTCTCTGTCTTTAGTTCATGCCCCCTCCAGCTGCTCCTCCCTTTCCCCCACACTTTGTTGCCTCTGTATTTCCATCCATCTTCCATTTGGTCATTTTTTCCACCATATTTGAAAAAAATAAGGATATAGGATAGAAAGAGAAAATACAAAGGATTGAGAAGAAGAAATGGCACAAAGATAGGATAAAAAAGAAGAAACAATAAGAGAAAACATGGAAGAAAAAATAGTAAAGGGTGTCCTATTTTGTTCTTTTGCAGCCTGGAAGAAAGCACTATTACGTGCTGGTGAGTGACATGAATCATGATGAAGACGATCCTATTATCAAAGATACTTTAAATGAGCATGTACTGTGTACAAAACAATATGTTGAAAACCAAAGAAACTTCAAAACATACATTCCATGAAATCAGTAGATTTTCAATATTTTAAAAGACATGTTGGAAAACATTAAATTTTAGCATTTTTAAAAATTTTGCATAATGCTTTGAAGATAGGTAAAATGTTATCTGCTGTAAAACGTGAGGAACCCATAGAGTCATGTTGTCAGACTAACCACATTCCCTGCCTCCTCTTCAACATCTTGAATAGATTACAGCACTTATGCTGTGGGAATGTTGGATGAAAAAAGAATATGAATGAGTGAGATGTTCAAGTGAGACACAAATTAGCAGGATGTGAAAGGAGTTTTAAGTATACAAAGTTGTATTTTCTTTGGTTGTCCAGATATTCTTGGCATAAAAACAGCTTTATTTTTCAAATAGTGGGTTTCTGTGTTTATTTGTTTCTTGCAGATTGGAAGAAAGAAGGATTCAAAGCTGGTGAGTATAGGGTGGTAGGACCTTGCTCCCCTTGAGGTAGTCTTGGGGGAAGATGGGTGCAGGTGAGCTGGATCTACACAGGACCAGAGAAGCCCTCACCAAATGGGGACCCTCTGTCCCAGGCTTCCTGAAACTCTTCCTAGGGACATGATGACCCACTTGTCTTTGCAGTAAATGTGACTTTGAATGCAGCCAGTGCTCATCCTACCCTCCTGCTGTCTGAAGATGGGAAACAAGTAACCAGGCAACAAACTTGTCAGGATCTACCCAGCTTCACACAGAGATTCGTCAGCCTTCCATGTGCGCTTGGTCAGCAGGACATCAGTTCAGGGAGATTCTACTGGGAGGTGGAAGTTGGGGACAAGCCTTCCTGGGACCTAGGAATTTGTAGGTATAATGTAAAAAAGAAGGGGAGGGTCACTATGTCCCCACAGAATGGTTTCTGGGCCATCAGGCTCTGTGATGGGGAATACTGGGCTCTCACCTCCCCAGAAACTCTTCTTACTCTAAGGGAAAGACCCCTTCGTGTGGGGATATTCCTGGATTATGAGGCTGGAGATGTATCTTTCTGTAACATGACAGATGGGTCCCATATTTTCACCTTTCCACAGGTCACATTTAATGGTGTCCTAAGACCACTTTTTGGACTTTGGTCCTCTGGCTCAGGCCCCTTGACCATAGTCCATGTGGAGGAGAAGATGTGATGTAATTCATATGCCTACCCTTCCCTGAGTAATGATGACATTGGGCACCAAAGATGATCACAATTCTCCCCACCAGCCATAAATTGATTTTTTCTACTTTACTGATTCCTTTTCAAGATGAAGCTCTGGCACACAGACTAATAGTTGCTCCTCACGTCAATCTTTCCTTCTTCCTTAGTTATAGACTCTCATTACTATGCCCTATGACAGCCTCACATAAAAATTATATTGTTTAGCTTCCCCTGCTGAATGTGGCTAAATAATGNTCCTTCTTCCTTAGTTATAGACTCTCATTACTATGCCTTATGACAGCCTCGCATAAAAATTATATTGTTTAGCTTCCCCTGCTGAATGTGGCTAAATAATGACCAAGGCATTATAAGCTGAATTATTCTGTTTGATTTCTGGGATGTGTCCTAAAGGAATTGTGTATCTTGTTGTATTTGCTTACTGATGGCTGTAAGGTGGCCTGATAGGTGGAACGCTAAGACCATCTCTGACCATGCCAATGATAGGATGTCAGAGAAGTCAGAATGAGCTTTGGTCTTTTAAAATGTCATGAAACAACTCTGCTCAATTTCCGAATTTTTTTTTGGTGAGAAATAAACTTTTATATCTTTAAGCAAATTTACATGCTGAGTTTTGTTACCTGTGATTGAATTTAGTCCTAACTGGTGCATCCTTTCTTTAGGGATAGCATAACATCACATTCAGGTTGCATAATCACGTGAAACAGAAGATGTAAAGTCTTGTGTTTAGTTACTTAGCTACTCCTACTCCTCCAGTGTGTCAGTCTCAGTAGGGCGCTCAGTTTCCACTCATCCATTTGTCCCTCCTGACCTCCTACTCTTTCTTATTTAGGTGCCATAGTTAATAATTTTAAGTATTCTGTTGTTAATAAGTAAAAATATCTGGACCCTTTGTTCTTCATTCACATATGTGTGACAAAAGCCCAAATTTGGATGAATCTAATTGCCAACTTCTCATACTGGCAGCTTAACATATTTTACAAATCCACACATAGGAGCAGATTGGTATAGACACCTACACATATGTAGTCACCTAGAATATGTAGTCAACTTAAAATTCAGCACTATCTGGTAATCCTCACGCTTCTTTAGCCATCTGCATTTCCTTACTTTTTTGCACAGTAAATTTCTTTAAAAATTATACTTTCTTTAAATATCCAGCTCTATACCCCTAGTTCTGTTTGCACTTTGAAAAATAATGATAATAATAATAATAGTAATTTAAATCAATAAAAGGGAATTGTCTCAGCTTTTAAATAAAAAATATAGCAAACTTACTTAAATCTGCATCTCTCTATTACTCCTCACTCCCTGTTTTGTTAGGAAAATATCCCTCTTCCTTTACAGGAAACACTAACCCATCTATTCTCTCCATTCATCCAATAATGTAGCACATCTTAAAATTTTTATTTTTCAAAATAAAACCAATAATGTAGCACATCTTAAAATTTTTAACCAATAATGTAGCACATCTTAAACCAATAATGTAGCACATCTTAAAATTTTTATTTTTCAATTACAATATATATATTCAGTATTATTTTTATTAGTTTCAAGCGTGCAGCGTAGTAGTTAGAGAGCCATATACTTTACAAAGTGTTCCCCTAATATTTGGAGTAACAACCCTGCACCATACATAGTTGTTAAAATATTTTTTAAAAAATATATCTTTATTGATTTCAGAGAGAGGAAAGGAGAGGGAGACAGAGAGATAGAAACATCAATGATGAGAGAGTCATTGATCGGCTGCCTCCTGCACGCTTCCGAGTGGGAATCAAGCCCACAACCCGGGCATGTGCCCTAACCCGGAATTGCATCCTGACTGCCTGGATCTTAGGTTGACGCTAAACCACTGAGCCACGCCCAGCCTGGCTAGTTGTTACAATATTATTGACTGTAATCGCTATACTGTACTTTACATCCCATGACTATTTTGTAATTGCCAATTTGCACTTAATCCCATCAACTTTTTCATCCATCTTTCCAACCTCCCTTTATTGTGTTAATCTTCAGTCTGCTCTCTGTATCTATGAGTCTGTTTCCATTCTGTTTCTTTGTTTAATTTGATCTTTAGATTGCACATATAAGTGACATCATTTGATATTAATCTTTCTCAGTCTGACTTATTTCACCTAAGATAACACCCTCTAGATCCATACATGATGTCAGAAATGGTAGGATTTAAGTCCTTTTTATGGCAGAGTAATATTCATTGTATATATATATATACCACTGCTTTTTTATACATTCGCGTACTTATGGGAATTTGGGTTGATTCATATCTTGGCTATTATATATAATGCTGCAATAAACATGGGGTACAACTTTTTATCTACTCCATAATCATCCTATATACTCTTATAATGCTCTTTTATAATCAAATTTCTCAAAATAATTATATAAAAACCCTATTCCTCAAGATTGTGGTCCCCTTGATTCTCCCCTTGAAGTTTCAACAATTTTAACAGCTATAATTCAACAAAGGATTTCCTGCTAAGTGCACAAACCCATCTGAGAGATGTGTGCATTGAAATGCCTGTAGTTGGGCAAGTGGGAGCAAACCAGGGAAGGCAGAAGAACTGAGACTGTGCCAGGGACTTCTGTAAAAAAAGAAAAAACAAAAGGAGGGACATAATTATAAAGAATAAAGTGGCAGTAAATACATACCTATCAGTAATTATATTAAACATAAATTAATTAACTTCTTCAATCAAAAGCCATAGGATAGCTAAATGGATAAGAAAACAATACTTATATATATGCTGTCTACAAGAGTCCCACCTCAGAACAAAAGACACACACAGAGACTAAAAGTAAAAAAATTAAAAAAGATATTCCATGAAAATGAAAAATAAAACTGGTGTAGCAATACTTATATCAGATAAAACAGACATTAAAACAAAGGCTGTAACAAGAGACAAGACCTTTGAGGTGAAAGAAAAGTGGGTGTGTAGGGCTCAAACTATGACCAACAGTGGAATAAAGTAAAGTAAAATTGCTTTGGTTACTGAAATACATTGAAAAAAAGTTTAATAACAATAAAAAGAAATACATTTGTCACTTATAACTTTAAAAAAAGCACACAAACTATTCTGCAGCATACGACCCATGTTTCCTTTTATGGTTTTGAGAGTTTGTGCTGTCTTTTCCCATTGCTTTCCCCGTTGAGCAAGCCCCAACTTCTAGCAAATGCCTAACCAGTGATAGCATCTGCATTATTGCTGTAACAGAAGCAATTTCACTTCTGGAAATATATCCAAGGAATCCCAAAACACTAATATAAAAGAATATATGCAC